GGTATAGTATTCTTGGCTGACACTTCTTTTTTCTTTTAATATTTTGAATAATATCGCCCTATTTTTTTCTGGCCTGTAGAGTTTCTGTTGAGAAGTCTGCTGTTAGTCTGGTAGGGGCTCCCTTATAGAAGATTTGATGCTTTTCTCTTGCTGCTTTTAAGATTCTCTCTGTCTTTCAGCTTTGCCAGTTTGACTATATTATATCTTGGAGAGGATCTTTTTGGGTTGGATCTATTTGGGATTCTTTGAGCCTCCTGGATCTGAAGGCCGGTGTTTCTCCCTAATACCCAGGAAGTTTTGTTATTATTTCCTTGAATAGGTTTTCCATGCTCTTTCCTTTCTCGTTCTCTTCTAGGACACCCATGATTCAAATGTTTGCACACTTAACATTGTCCGCTAGCTCTTAGATTTTCTTTGTTTCTTAAAACCTTTTTTTTTTTTTTGCCTGCCTGGATTATTTCAAAAAGACTATCTTCAAGACCAGAAATTCTTTCTTCTGCTTGTTCTAGCCTGCTGCTTAAGCTCTTGGTTGTGTTTTTTATTTCACTGAGTGAATCTTTCAGTTCCATGAGTTCTGCTACATTCTTTTTAAGGTATTAATCTCTCTGTAAATTTCCTCCTTCATATCATAAATTTTTTCCGCTTCATTATGTTGCCTGAGTCTTCTCATATCTCAGTAAGTTTCCTTAAGATTGTTGCTTGGGATTCCTTTTCATTCATTTCAAGGGTTTCCTACTCTAAAGTGTCGGGTATTTGGGAATTACTATATTCTTTTGGTGGTGTCATATTTGCTTAGATTTTCGTATTTCTAGTATCTTTACTTTGATGTCTGGTCATCAGGTAGAGCGACTGCTGCTTCTGTTACTCTGGAGTGGGCTTTGAGGAAAGAGACTTCCTCTTCTTTTTCTGGTCTCTGCTAGTGACTCTCCTTGTGTCAATTCAGTTCAATGTCTGGTGGGCCACCTGCACAGTGGCTGTGGCTACTGCTGTGGTGGCGAGCCACTTTTGTGGCAGCCATGGCTGCGGTGGTGGCTGTGGTGGGCCACCCACACGGAAGTGGTATTTTTAGCATGCTCCTTGCCTGCTTCCTCTGTGGAGGAAGTGCTGCCCTTGGCTCCTGCATAGACCCCAGGTGTGGCTCTCTTGCTTGCTTCTGGGCGGTGGCTGCTGCCCTCCACTCCTGCCTAGGACCCTGGGTATGCTCCTTGTCTGTTTCCAGGTTTGGGGGCTGCCCTCAGCTCCTGCCCAGGACTCTAGGCATGCTCCTTGCCTCTAGCCAGTTTTCTTAAGTAAAAGTTCTTTGAATATTTGCAAGCCTGTGGTTAATTTCCAGAGTTCTGAGAAAGCAGTTTTGACAATGCTTGCCGGTGTTCTATTTGCTTTTATGGAGGAGCAGATTTTCCGATGTATTTACTCCATCAATCCTGATGATGTCTGTGTATAATTTTTTGTGTGGATACACATTTTATCTTGTGTTTATCTCTTTAGGAGTGGAATTGCTAGGAAATATGCTATGCTCAAATTTTTGAGAAACTGACAAACTGCTTTCCACCACTGCTGTGCCATTTTACATTCCCACTGGTTCTGATATGAGGGTTCCAATATCTCCACATGCTTGGCAACACTTGTAATTGTTTGCCTTTTTTATTATAGCCATCCTCATGGGTGTGAAGTGATAATCTCACTGTGGTTTTGATTTGTATTTCCATTATAACTAATGATGTTGAACATCTTATCATATGTTTATAGGCCACTTGTACATCTTCTTACAGAAATATCTGTTCAAATCAACAGTCCACTTTAAAATTGGACTGTCTTTTTATTATTGAGTTGCAGGACTTCTGTACATATCCTGGATACAAGTCCCTTCTCAGATATATGATCTTGAAATATTTTCTCCAAATGGTGGGTTGTTTCTTCACTTTTCTTTTTTTGGTGGCTGGCCAGTATAGGGATCTTCGCTTTCTTGATGGTATCTTTTACAGCACAAAAGATTTTAATTTTGATGTCCAACTACCGATTTTTTCTTTTGTTGCTCGTGCTTTTGATGTTGTACCTTAAGAAGTCTTTTCCTAACTCAAGGTCACTGAGATTTACTCCTATGTTTTCTTCTAAGAGTTCTAGTTTCAGCTCTTACATTTAGATCTGATCTATTTTGAGGTAATTTTTGAGTGTGACAAGAGGCAGGAGTCCAACTTCATGCTTCTGCATATGGAGATTCAGTGTCCCCAAACCAGGTGTTCAATAGACTATGCTTTCTTTCATTGATTTTTAACAAAGATGCCAAGACAATTCAATTGACTGTAAAAGATACAAAATTTAATTGGACAGAAGGAATAAGTTCAAGAGATCTATTGTACAATATGGTGACCATAGATAATAATATATGGTTTATCTGAATATCACCAAAAGATTTTAAGTGATCTCACCACAAAAAATAAGTATGTGAGGTAAAGCACATGTTCATTAGCTCAATTTAGCCATTCCATAATGTATACATACCTCAAGATCATGTTGTAAACCATAAATATATACAATTTTTATGTCAATTAAAAACCTAATTTAAAAAAATTATATTTAAACTCCACTGGTATTATTTTGGTTCAGAAAAATAGGTTCATAACTCATTAGAGATAATCTCGTGTAAATCTAAAGATGTTTGTTTTCAAGCTGACACTATGGCTAGGTTTTGTTATTTCTTAATAGGTTTTCTTTCCATTTAATCAGAAAATTAACTTTCATATCCTGTTTACAAACCATTAAAGGTGATTTGGAAGCTTAAAAAATCAATTACCATAAATATAAGGGTGTATTTCTGGACTCTAGATCCTATTCCATTGATCTATATGTTTATTCTTACTTAGGTACCACACTGTCTTGATTACTATAGGTTTGTAGCAAGTTCTAAAATCGGGAAGTATAAATACTTCAATGACTGTGTTCTTTTTTCAAGACAGTTTTGACTTTTCTGAGTTCTTGCAATTCTATATGAATTTTAGGATTGGCTTGTCAATTTCTACAGAAAACCTAGCTGGTATTCTGATAGGGATCGTGTTGAATTTGTAGATCAATTTGGGAAGTACTTCCATCTTAAAAATATTAAGTCTTCTGATGCATGAACATGGGATGTTTTTCCATTTATTTTGATCTTTTTTACTCACTTTCAACATTTTGTAGTTTTCAGAGTATAAGTTTTGTGCTTCTTTATTAAATTTATTCCTAAGTAGTTTATTCTTTTTTATGTTACTGCAAACAAATTTGTTTTGTTAATTTCATTTTTTTTTTTTTTTGTCTTTTTTCCGTGTCCGGCAACGGGTCGCAACCCTCA